TAAATTGACTAAATGAGTTTTTCATTGCGGGCCAAATGGATTTGTTCTATAGTTTACTCAATTCTTCCAAGCAGCATGCCCTTTAGTTTTTTGCCAAGGCTCTGCCTTCTTTTCTTGAAATCAATTTTATAAACTAATCTTGAGTTGAATAGAGAACTGAAATATTGCAACATGGTTGAATGTGTCTTTATGTTTTCTCTTTGGATCTTTAGTTTGAACATGCATTTTCTATTTGAGGTATTTAGCTACTTTTGTCTCAGACCATTGCCTAATGAAGCAGTAGCTTGGCAACTCTTGTCATGTGATATTATTGTTTGTTCATTAAGTATTTATGCATGATATATATTGAGTGAAGACAATATGTAAAGTTGTTTCTTGCCTTTTAAAAAGTTTGGACACTCTCACAATCTCATTTCACTTAGGAAATCACTTTGTCTATTTTTATTCAGATACTGATCAAAGATTTGGATATTATAGTTTCAAGAATGAGGAAAAAAACATGTTGCTTATAGAAAAGCATAAGGAAGCTTCTACTATTTGGTGTCAAGCTAATGCTTTTAGGGCTCATGTTACATTTATATTAAATTGGAGCATGACATAAGCAGGGCTAATCTTACATTTATGTTCGTGTTGTTCTAATTTCATTGATTATATTAGACCTACTTGTGGATGTGTTTGTACAACTAAAATATCTCATAAGTTTAATTTGACAAAATTAATAGGTGACAGAGACATTTTAGATGGTTGGGACAAAGTGCATTATACTATGAAATTTGTTCTATTCTTTTTTTCAATTTCTCGTTGCACAAGGTACAAAGACAGTGATGAAGTGTACACCTTTTATAAATTCCAGTGGTTAGTTTAATTTCTAATGACTTTAGTTTTCACTGGGTCTTTGTCTAGCAACGTTGTTAATTAGGGTCACCAGAATACTACTGACAGGAAATGGCAAAACTCTTGGTCCTAATATTTGTCTAGCTTTTCCCCTCTTGTTTTGTCCTTGTTTCAGTTACTATTAGTCTTTCTTTTTTTCCAATTGCTATTAAATGTTATGTAAGTCCAATGTAATAAATATATGTTCACTACACACTAGTGCACATTTAACTTCATAAATTGAAATCTTACAACAAGACATAGATGAAAATTATTATTCTGATTAACATGATTGACCAAAACCATGTACTTGTAGCTCTAATTTTGGAATTGTTTATCGTCGCTAAATGTCTAAATTTATATTACTGAATTCTTTAATAAAACTTTACATAAATCCTCATGACTTGTGTTTGCTCTTCTAAGTTATTTATGTGCATAGCTATCCTTGTGACTTAAGGGTCAATCTACATTGCTTACTACTAGAAAATTACCTTTAATGACATACCTAATCTAACATTTGGTTCTCTTTTAATCATGAGCCTACTTAAATATTTGTCATGAATATGCATTCACAGAAACTATGATTTATCTTGGTGACACGCCTTTGGGATTACATTGGTGTGAAATCCATGTGAATGTGTTTGTGGAGAGTGATGAAGAGCTGATAAGGCCATACCATAATTTCCACAAGATTGGAGATGCAATTGGAGTGGCCATTACTTGGCCAATAAACTTGGTAATCTTTACTCTAACTTAGTTTTTATTTGTTTTCTAAGATTAAAACTGTAAAAGCAGAGCTGTGTGATTGGTAACTCCAATTGCTTGGTTTATGACACATGTAGGTGAATCTTGAAGAAAACTAAATGATCCTTGGATCAAATGGCTATTTTTTGTAGACATTGTTAATGCTTTTTAGTTGAGTTCCTGTCAAGCTACTGCTTCCATTATATATATTGACAATGCTACTGCAATACTCCTCACTAGTGGAAAATCTTTGAATTAGCATGTAATTTGTTGACATAGTTTTAAGGTGAGTTGCTTAGATGATATATTTTTGCACCAGTTTGGATTATTGTATTGCACCAGTTACTATGAAGATGTAAATAACTTTGGTTTTCCTTTATATGATGGGACTAACTACTTTATCATTCCAAAAATTAGGATTTACAATATGCAGGCAGGATGAAATGTGATTTCTGCTTATAAGTATAAAACACGGATGGTGTTAAAACAGATGCAGCGGAACGGAAGAACAAACAAGAACAAATTTGGAAAAAATCAGATTTTTCTATTAGGGTTCGGAATGTATCAAATATTTTTGTATAGAATGGATATAAGATATATATATATATATACAACCAAATAATCAAAACGGACTGGACCCAAAAATTAGGCCCAAAAATCAAGACCTTTGAACAACTCAGTGGAGGTCGAAAATCTGATTCAAGACATTTCAACAAATCTCCACTTTGACTTGAATCTTCTCAGAAACAAATGTAACAGAAGCACTGATGAAGTGCCAGACGTACTCAGAGTCTTCTTTTACTATCAGAATTGTCTCTAAGTACCATCAGAATGCCCATAAGGGTTATAAAAAACTTAGGACATTTAGCAAGTCCAAACAATGTTTGAACTTATTATGAGGAACCGGCTTGGTGAACATGTCAGCAGGACTGTCAGCAGTGCCAATTTTCTTCACCTTGATCCTTGTCTCGGATCTCAAGAAGTGATATCGAACATCAATGTGTTTAGTCCTCTCATGATGAACTTGATCCTTGGCTAGACATATTGCACTGAGACTATTACAATATATATTAGCCTGATCCTAATGTAGGCCAAGATCTCCAACCAGTCCCCTTAACCAAATTCCCTCTTTAGTAGCCACCGTCAGTGCCATATACTCTGCCTCAATAGTGGACAGAGTCACTGTAGGTTGTAGAGTTGCTTTCCAACTAGCTACAGAATGCCCAAAAGTGAAAACATAACCAGCCATCGACCTTCTACTATCAATATCTCCAGTATAATCAGAATCTGAATAGCCTGTAATCAAACACTCTATATCACCTCCATAGATGAGACCAACATCAGACGCATCCCTCAGGTAACGAAAAATTCGCTTCACGGCCAGCCAGCGCTCCTTCCCAGGATTAGCCATAAATCTGCTAACAACACTGACTGCATGTGCCAGATCAGGTCTAATGCAGACCATGACATATATCAAACTACCCACTGCACTAGAATAGGGAACCTTAGCCATATACTCTATCTCTGCTTCTGACTGTGGTGCGAGTGTAATTGATAGTTGACCATTCACTGCACTCGAAGTATTCAAGGATTTGCTGTAGACATGCCAAATCTGGATAGTACATTCTCAATATAACTCTTCTGTGATAAAAAAAGCTTCTTCTGACTTCTATCCCTAAAAATCTCCATTCCCAGAATTTTCTGTGCTGCACACAAGTCTTTCATCTCAAATTCTGCACTGAGAAAACTTTTCAACTTCTGTATATCAGCTTTGTTCCTCACAACTATAAGCATATTATCTACATACAGAATCAAGTAGATCATCGAACCATCTTCAAGTTTGTTGTGATATACATAACAATCGCACTGACTTCTGTTGTAGCCGAGCTCAATCATGTAGCCGTCAAACCTTTTGTACCACTATCTTAGGGACTGCTTTAATCCATACAAGGATTTCTTCAACTTGCATACATAATCTTCTTTTTCCGGAACATGGAATCCATCTGGTTGAGTCATATAAATCTCTTTATCTAACTCTCCATGTAGGAAAGCTGTCTTCACGTCTAACTGCTCAAGTTCTAAGTTCTGATGTGCAACCATTGCTAGTAGCACCCTGATAGAAGTGTGTCTGATCACTGGTGAGAAAATCTCATTGTAGTCTACTCCTTCTCTTCGAGTGAACCCTCTTGCAACAAAACGTGCTTTATACTTGATGCTCTCAGCTGGAGAAATACCTTCCTTCCTTTTAAAGACCCATTTGCAAGTCGCAACCTTTCTCTCTGCTGGCCGTTTGACCAATTCTCAAGTGCCGTTCTTGTGTAACGACTCCATTTCATCATCCATTGCAGCAAGCCATTGAGCTGACTCACTGCCTGAAATAGATTCTCTATAGGTAGAGGGTTCAGGGGAATCCACCTCCTCAACAACCTGAAATGCATAACCTACAAAATCTCGATACCTGCTGGGAAGTCGTACTCCCACTCTCCCCGCATGATCATAACCAATATCGTGTTGCTGAGTTACTGACACAGTATGGGATATAGGTGCCAACCTTTCTGCTGATGTAGGTTCTGGAGACTCTACTTCTGCAGGAGGTTCAGTTTCAAAGGATAGTTGTTGATGATCATCAAATTTCTGCTGTGATTCAAAATCATTTTGAATGATTTGTAGCTCTACCTGTTTATCAACACTTGCACTTTCTTCAACAACAGTCTTCATAGGGGTGGTTAAATATCGAGTTTTCATCAAAAATTACACTTCTGTTAAGTATAACTTTCTTTTCTGAGGGTGACCAGATTCTATACCCTTTAACCCCGTCTCCATATCCCAGAAACACTCCTTTTTTAGCCCTTGGTTCTAGTTTGCCCTCACTGACATGATAATATGCAGTACAACCAAAAACCTTCAGATTTGAGTAAGTAGGGAACATACCAGACCACACTTCATAAGGTATCTTGTAATTTATACCTGTATAAGGTGTACGATTGATTAAGAAGCAGGCTGTGCTCACTGCTTCCGGCCAGAACCTCCTTGGCAACTCAGCATTGAAGAGCATACACCGTGCTCTCTCTAGAAGTGTCTGATTCATGCGTTCTGCTACACCATTTTGTTGTGGTGTGTGTCGAACTGTGTGATACCGAGTAATTCTTTCATTTTTACAGAACTTATCAAACTCCTTTGAATAGAATTCTAGACCATAATCAGTTCTCAGCCTTTTGATCTTCTTTCCAGTTTGATTCTCCATTAAGGCCTTCCACTGCTTGAAGTTCTTGAAAGTTTCACCTTTTTTCTTCATAACGATTACCCAAGTCATCCTTGAATAATCATCAATCATGGATAAAAAAATATTGATAGCTTCCCAAAAACTCAACTCGTGAAGGACCTCAACAGTAAGAATGGATGTAATCAAGTGTGCCTTTTGTCCTGTGAATTGCCTTCCCAAACTTTCTGCGATGTGGTATACCGAAAGTACAATGTTCACAGAATCCAAGATCGGTGACCTTGTGGTCTTTTAGAAGATCACGTTTAGACAGAATCTGCATCCCCATTTCGCTCATATGACCAAGCCTAATCTGCCACAGCTTGGTCATATTAGACCTACGATCTTCAAAAGATGCAACAGCAGCAGTGGCAGAACCTGTTAGCGTTGAACCCTGTAAGATGTACAGGATGCCATGCTTAATTCCTTTGAGAACCACTAATGAATCTTTACTGATGCACAAATCTCCACTTCCTCCGCTGAACCTAAAACCCTTACTGTCAAGAGTATTAAGTGATATCAGATTCTTCGTCATTTTGGGAAGGTGCCTAATTTCGTTCAGTGTGGCAACTTTTTCAGCATGTGTTCTGATCTTGATAGAACCAATCCCAAAGCCTTGCAGATAGCGCTATTAGCCATCACGACATTTTCGCCATCTATCTGCTCATATTTTGTAAATCATTCCCTATTTGGACATATGTGATAGGATGCCCCAGAATCAAGAACCCACACATCAGAGTGATGTGTTGGTTCGTTTGCAATTAGGGCTAGATTTTTATCTGAATTTATCGCTTCTTTTTCTGAAACTGAAACTGAAGCATGTTGTTTTTCCTGCTGCTTCTTCTTCTTAGGGCAATCTGATTTCCAATAACCCTTTTTCTTGCAGTAGTTACAGATATCATCCGGCTTGGGACCTTTAGAGAACTGCTTCTTATTTCCAGGCTTCTTTTTTCCAAATTTTCCTTTACCACTGGTGACCACTAACCCAGCAACCTGATTATCTGTAACATTACCAACCGCCTTATGGTGCAACACTCTAGTATGCAGTGCTGATCTTATTTCTTCTAGAGTCACAGTATCTTTGCCGCCAATAAACGACTGAACGAAATTCTCATACGATAACGATAGAGACACTAACAGAATCAACGCGGCATCCTCACCCTCAATTTTAACATCAATATTACGTAACTCAAGAAGAATTGTATTTAATTGATTTAAATTTCTCGAAAAGGAGTACCTTCCTGCATACGCAGACCGAATAGATGTTGCTTTAGGAGCAACTTGTTGGTTAAAGACTTTGTCATATAGAGACTTTCAAGTTTAGCCCACAAACCCGCAGCAGTTTCTTCACCGGCGACCTCAGTGATGACATCATCTGACAGGCACATCATGATTGTCGAGTGAGCCTTTTCCTCCAGACTCATCAACTCTTCATCAACGGAATCCGATTTCTTCTTCGTCAGCAGACTTCACAGACCCTCTTGCTTTAATAGAGCCCGCTGTAATGCAACATGCAGTTCTAACACTTAAAAGGTCATCACTTCGACTTTTATTATACATAATATTCACAAAATTTCATGTTAAAAAGTGTCATAATAACTTAATCTAGTTACACCAAAAAGTGTCATAATACTTTATTCTACTTATGTGAGTGTATTATAATATCTTATTATACTTGCATGGCAGAAGTGTCAAGATAGTTTCAAAATATGATAATTATGTGCATCACTTAAGTTTATATAACATCAACTGTGCCCTGGCATTTCTTGTCATTTCAAAGTGTCATAATAGCGATAACTAATGACATTTATAAGTGCCAGAAGAACTACAAATTAGGACGCATAGAAACTGTCATAAAACTTATAGTGACGTTAGAATGGATGACACTTCTGACAGAGCGTCATTATAGTTAAAACGTCATAACATGGAGCTATAATGAGCTTTCAAATTTCATAAAAGGATATTTTTGTAGTAGTGAATTTTTTAAGGTTTAACGTTATTAATACTTATTCATTCCAATATTTGCACTCCAGATGAATGCTATGTCTCAGGTATATTATATGGCTGAGGACTCTCTAGCACATAGTGACGAACAGCACAGGAATTATTTTAATACAATGAAGGACTTTGCATCAATAACATTGCATCATGTCGGGGAGTCATCCTGACTTGCATTCGCCGTCCACAAGTACCATAGGACATTCCACAACACGCAGATGCAAGTCGTGTTCAACAAGCTCCTAGGAATATTCACGGAGGTCAGCATGGCGGTGGACGACATCGTAGACTCTGATCACCAGAACCCACTATCCAAACTGGATTCGATGAAGGGTCACAGGCTACTGAGCACCATGTTGACGCATCTTCTTTAGTCATACCTCAGACTGAAGTCATGCAACTGCACAGTGCATCCATTGGCCATTCTAGGTCTCTAGTGACTTTTTTACAGTTTACGCCCTATACAGACTTACATCATGGCACTTCTGCACAATATGCAGGAGGTATAGATGAAGGTCAAAGTACCCAATATCATGATATTACACTTGAGTCAGAGATTACTCAAGTCGATATAGTAATGCAAAACTAGTCACGTCGAACATAAAGAGTACGCAAACCCAGAGGATGTAGTACTCATGAAAAATTTGGACATCATTGATGATGTCCTGATTGTGTAGCTATTGTATAAACTAACTAATTATGGCTGACATACTTTATTGTGTCATTTCCTGTTTATATTTTTTACTTTCCCGAATATTAGCAGAAAAACTTAATCACGTATATCTTATCGATCCTTTTTTACAAAACTAGAAACTTTCATAAAATTACAAAGAAATTCTCTTTTCCCACGAACAATTTTGATGCTCTTGTATGAGAAAAAATTTCTTCTATTAAACATATGACAAAAAATTTTGATGCTTGCGTATGAGAAGTATAAAAAAAGAGAATTTTATTCATCAAAAGTTAAGACTTAACATATTAACAATTTTATTGTATTTTATATTGACCTGTGAAAATAAAGAATTATACATGTATAGTTATTTCTTTACAAAATTATTTAATAATAAAATTAAGTGTTTCCAACCGTATAATTATCAAATCTTTTAATATAGAAGAAATATAACTTTTTTGTAATTTATATACAAAGGATTAGTAGTAGATAAAATTTTCTTCAGAACTCATTTGTAATCATTTGCACAATTGATTTTAGTGCGATATTAGTGACTCTCTATTACAGTTGGGGTACAGATGAGGAAGTTCTAAAGTCACATATATTTATCTCAAAAGTAGAATGAATTTGAGTTACTACTTGTAGGGAACTTGTTGCCCTTTGGATAAAATCGAAAAAATTTGAAACCTTTTAGGGCAATTTTGTAATTTTGGACAAGATTTTGAAATATTTTTGATAGAATTTCCCCTTAAAACTGGACTAAATACCCTGCCAGCAGACTCAAGATTAACAACATTTGAATGCAATTCATATTCCAACAGAAAACTTGAAAACAGAAAAGGTCAAGTTAAACACTCTACATCCAACAAATTAAAAACAAAATGACAATTAAATCCTGAAGCAACAAAATAGCCATCCTAAAGGTGCAGCTTCAGTCGTCATCTTCATCTTCATCACCATCACGAGGTGGAGGAATGCCTAAATACTCGATCCGCTCCAGGCAAGTGTCCATCCGTCCCAACCGATACTCGATATCGTCCAAGCGAGTGAAGAGTCGCTGCCAATTCGATTGTGACGGTGGAGGAGGAGGTTCCGTAGTAGAAGGTCCGACTTCCTCTCGGGCATGTCTTGCCTTTTGTCCACTTTCTCGAATAGGTCGAGGAATGTTCTCCGTGCCAATACTGAGACGACAAAGGGAAGAAACCTACAATTTGGTTTTAGGTGTAACAAATTCCTGCTGTATACCTTGCAAATTAACCTCAAAATTCTCGAACACCAAGGAAAGCAAACGAGGAAATGCCAATTTGAATGGCGTCATTCTCCACCTCACTGTAGACCTTATGTGGCTAATAATGATGTTCGGCAAGGGAATTCGAGCGTAGGAGGAGTCCCGATTATGAAACATGTAGTCGAGAAAGTAGATGTAATTTTTGCGGACTTCGTATGCCCCGTCTTCTTGGGTATGACGTTGTGGGCCATCATATAGATAATGAGATGATGGCGGGATTCAAAAATACTCGCCAACATTGTCTCCTTCCTCGAGGATCGAAAAGGTTGGTAATCAAGACCAAACCTAGTCATGTCATGTGATGGATCCCACCGCCTATTTAGTGTGACGAATCCCTTTTGCAAGTCGATAGCTCGATCCTGGTTGTTACAATCCAAAATGGTAGCTAGGCGCTCCCTCGACAAGACAACATGTCTCCCACACACCCATGACTCCACCATCTCACCACTGTGGCGCGCTTTATAATCAATGTTGCCGCAGAACTCGTGCACCAAGTCAAGGTAGTAGTGAATCGGCAAGGTGAGAATTGACGCCCAACCAAGTTGATTGAAGCCTCCGAGATGCGATAAACTATTTCAACTCCTGGACTCACGTGCATCTCAAAAAGGAACTCCAAATTAGCGTGCGCCTCATGCCACTCTTGATTCCTCAGGGTAGAAAACCTAGCACTATCAAAGACAGACGCTTCGGCACCACGAGAAGTACCCTCACCTGGTCGTCCTCTAACCAGTTGAGGAGAAGGTGACCTCTCCTCCTCACTTACTTCGACCTCCTCACTAACATCCATATCATCACTACTAGAGGATGAATATACAACCTGTCTTCCCCTAGCCATAGTACCTAATAAGAAGGATTCAATTATTCACATGTACTAAGACATATTTCATATTTTTGACAATAAATAACATGAATTGATTCAAATGACCACAAATACATCCCTCCATGTCATAAGAAATCAAATACATATAGTTAAACAATCATTATTATGACATAAGAGAAATGACATAGTCAAAATGTCAAAAATTACTAAAATCATCAATCTATCAAAATAGGCCACAAATATATCAAAATCAGTGAAATTAGCACTAATCAAGATAATAGCAGCCAAATTTTAGCAACAATAATACACATTTAGCTATAAACATGATTAAGCAAGATGTATTCTAATAACTCACAAAATTCATCAAATCACTCTCTCTACACAATGCACATGTTAAAACATCATCAACTAACCATTTTATACCATAATCATTGATCACCAATGGCTCAACAACATTCCAAACCAACTTTCCAATTTTAGCCAAATATAGCAACTTAAAAATTTAAAGAACTAGTAATCATCAATTTTCTACATTTGAATTTGTAAACATACTTAATTACCATCAACAAGCATAATAGAGGCCAAAAACATCTATAAACATCATCAAACTTTCGAAATTAAAACATGTCAAAAAGCTCAGGAAATTGAAAAATATCAACTTCTAAAATACGTAAATTTGATGAAGAAACTTACCTCAATTATGCAGAAGGATATTTGGAGATGATGACTGTGTAAAAAGCCCTATGAAACGCCCTCCAA